ATTTTCTGCAATCCATTATTCTAATATTGAAACAGTAGTCCAACTGTTTATAATACATTATAGCCAGCATGATTTGCAAAATGAAGTTTGCCGATTATTTCGGCTAGGATTTCTGCATCATTGTCAATGTGAATTTAGACTCCGTAGAGTTTGATGCACCGAAAAGCATTATACACCATCATCTATTCATCCATCCAAGTTAACATACGACCAGGCATTACTGCGTAATGGTCCGAGTTGCGACAGCTCATATTCAGTACATCAAGTAAAAAGACAGTGAAGATGAGGAAAAGAAAATTCAATCAGAAGAAATATAAAGTGCTAAAACAGAAAGGAAGAGTGAGAAAATGGTGAGATTCGTTATGGTGTTAAGATGGGGATAATGTGTGTATACGTCTGCACCACTGACTTCGATTCTGAGCCATATCACCTAGAGTCCCCAACCACTGGTTCCTCTTGTCCCGCGGACCCCAACCACCTAGTCTGCATCGCCTCACATGGCTTAAACCAACAGTCAAAGACTACATACATTGATACTATGTTTTCGTCTGGCCACCTCGAGCCTTTTTCCAACCTGAACCTACTTCGGCCAACACTGTGTGACGAGGCAGACGGTGACTAGGCATACGTAGTACGTGTCCCAACCATCTCAGTCGATGGAGGTTCACAACCGTGTAAACTGATTTACCTCTTTTCCATAAAACTCTACACCTGACTTCTGCGTTACGTGGTGACACCATGGAATACAACCTATACTACGAAGGCAACGGTGGTGAACAACTGAAGCCTTCTCATGTCTTCCACCTTCAATGGTCGTGTTTCACAGTCATACAGTAGAACAGAGCGGACTGCTGTGCAGTACACGCGACTCTTAATTGACAGTCGGATATCACGGCGGCGCTACAGATGGCGTAAGTTGGCAGAAGCCAACCTAATCTTAAAGCATTAAATGGCTACCAAGAGCTCATAAATAAAAGATATTTTGGTTCAGTGTAGTTAACCTACAAATCTATCAACTTGGATTTCTTCATTGGAGAGCAAAATCACTTGAATAATAGATGCATTAATGAAATCTTACGCTTATAATCCTTTAGATAAGGTGTTTAAGCAATCACAATGCAGAATTATGATGAAGCATATTCACTTTTATTGCATTTCATAATCTACAACCGTCATAAACTGTTGTTTCTCTTACTACATGTCCCATCTGTCGGTAGTGTAATGTCATCTACAAAAGCAACGGTGCGTGATTACCTAATTATCTTGAAAATTGGTGTTTACATTTGACTTCAGATGCCTTATTAAACATATGACTAATCTTCATATTCAGGAACTACAGTCACTTTTTGGAGATAGTGACAACTGAACTTGGAATCGTAAACGTTGTACATATATATCAATATGTTTAGTTTAAAATAAACCACTTTTATGAAATTCTTTTGTATTGATGTCACTATTATTTGCTTGTTGTCATTTGTTTGTATCACTATAGGTGTGCTTAAATGTTTGGATTAGGACTGTAAGATTTGTTTAGTAATCGATGGTATAATTCTACAAAACTCATAAGGCTGCATAGAGCGTTACAGGGAATATCTCGAAAGGTATTCCTTTTGAGATATCATATTCCTGCTGGCGATTGTTGTGAAACAATAATTGATTGTACGGGGTAGTAGTTTGGAAGTAAGACTATGTTGCGATGTATCACGGTGTGGTCGATTTATAAAGGATAACGAGAGATTAATAATAAAATAACTGATCGCTCTTTATTTATGAATCTCAACCAAGTAATAGTCAAAAGATTCGAAAATAATCGTAACGTAAAATTTAATCAAGTAGAACTTATATATTACAAATGGAACCCGAAATAACCTGATTAGGAATAGTATAATTAAAGATATACTGTTGACTAAATGAAAAAGCGACAATCACAAAACAGCCTATCACAATGGCTAGTGTATTTAAGATTGCTATACTATCTACAAAGTAATGAAGCGAGTGGCAGGTACATAGGATATGAATAATACGGTAATTGTGTGGTTACGATCCTCAGTGACTGCATCATTTCTGGTCTGCTTGTGTATCTTGGAATTTCTTTTGAGCAATACTTTCTTGGTTATATTGTGTTCTCTGGACTGGGTTGTTTAATTGTGGAGCTTTCATCCTCTTCCTAGACGGCATCATCAGCACTAACTTCAGTATGAAGTGAGCTGTTAATATCTCTCCGTGAGTGATTCAGTAGCTTGCCCTGATGAACTAGTTTATGATTGGTTGTTTCCTTGGATTGTTGTGTCACTGGCTGCATAGACTTTCCTGTTGGCTGTTCTTCTGCTTGACGTCTGACCTTTCTGTCGTTTATCATTTTTCTTATAGGTTGATAGATTGGGTCTATGACTATACATCTGTTGACTTCTGACTAACCTGAATGCCAAGATTCTAGGAATCCTCTGATAATCTTTATTTCCTCTGCATTTCTGCAGATTTCTGCATTATCAACATTGGATTCATGTCCATAATTATCCACGTGCATTGAAATGAGTAATGAAATGTCGTGACGTTTAGTAGTCAACTGGCGTTCATGCAGACGAACGTGGAGAGGGCGACCACTTTGTTTAATGTAGCGTTGACTACAGTTATTGCAGTTGATTTTGTAAATGATATTTGGTTTGTCTTCTTTGGTTGTTGCATCCTTTGATCTGCAAAGTAGTATTTGGAGGGGATTTGTTGTTTTATGAGCCACACCAATTCCAAGTGGTCTCAGTAATCTTGTCGTAATTGCTGATATATTCTTTATGTATGCTAGGATGATGCGTTTATTGATTTCTGTCAATGACTTTGTAGTTGGTGATGCACAAGATAGGCATCTCCTGATAAAGCTTCCTGGGTAGCTGTTCTTCTTCAGGGTGGACATCAAGTAATTTTCCTCGTTTCTCCATGAAATTGTTGTGCTGCAGTGTGTTCTCGCTCTTTTGAATCGAGTCTGCACGCAACTGATTTTGTGTGTTGTTACTATTGTAGTTGAGGATTTGGTCAGTGTGTGTTGGCTTCCTATACACTTAGCTCTCCAGCTTTCCGGCATTTGTTCTACTGACCAAAACATCCAGTAATGGTAGTTGGTTGTTTGACTCCTTCTTCATCGTAAATTTTATGTCATTGAAAACGTTGTTGATCAAACTGTGAGTGCTTTCTAAATCATCTTTCTTGGTGATGACAAAAGTGTCATCTGCATAGAGAATCCAAACTTTGGTTTGATCACCGGTAAAATGATGGCTTCCAATCTCTGCATCACTGCTTCAGCAATTAGTCCGGATATCGGTGACCCCATTGCAGTTCCTTTCATCTGTTTCTATATCTTGCCATTAAATTGGAAGTATGTTGTCAGGCAAACGTTCCATCAAACTTGAACAATTAGGTTTTGTGCGTTCTGAGAGGTTTGTGTCTTCAGTCAGCAAGAAGGACATATTTTCCTTGGGTAATTGGGGTTCGATGAATGTGTATATTGGTGTGACATCGAAGGATACCATTAATTCGTTGTTTTCTATATTAATGCTCACTAAGGGAAATAAATTTGTAAAATCCCAGAAAAATATATTTATGACGAACAACTTTGTTTTACATTTATTGGGAAATTTAAATTCCAAAGTAATGAATGTTACCGATGAATCTTATTCAACAACTGTGTCTGATTTCTCAATATATTTACACTCTATATGTCATTCAAACGTTTTTTTGACGATTGTTTACATATGTGATTTCGCATTGCACGAAGAAACAGAGATCGGTGTCTTGCAGGTTTTACTTTTTGATGTAGAAGGAACTTTCTTCATAAGCATATAGGTATTAGTGTTGTTAATTCTGCTTAAAACTGAGGGATCTGAACTGGGTAGATTGTTCAAAGGCAGCATGAGTGGACAACTGCTAAGATATTCCTGATATAGATAAATAGTCTCTTACTAAACATCCTTTACAGAATACTGAATAGACTGCTGTTCATTTTATTAACCAGTGGTTAAAATATTCCTTGTGCATTGTTTCACTGCAGGAGCGTCAACTGTCAACAAAACAAATATGATCTCTTATGTTCTTTGCAGATTTTCACCATCTCAACCAGTAAGAACAAATCCCGGAAAGCATATCAGAAATGTGTGCGCTTGTATCAATTGATATATATCAAGCTTTAGTGTGGTATTATGGATAAAATTATTTTCGAGTTTAGTATAAGTGATAATAGATATCCCTACTACTCATCTAGATTATGATGATTAAGTCTGATGCTAGGAAGGTGTCATTTAAAAAAAACATGATAACACGTTTGTCATGTCTTTCAAAGTCTTAAGACCGGTAGGTGGGACAAGACGGTTGTAGGTAGCGTATCTGGAAATCTGTTATCGGCCTTATTTAGCATCGGCATTGGAAAATACCACTATGGAAAACAATAGTATATTTGTCTCTCAGTTTATCCATAATCCTTTTCGTTATATGACCGACAATCATTTTTTGAGTAATGGGATATGAATTCAGCGGTATTAGTTTATGAGACAGCAATTCCCATTGATAATTTACTAAATACCTGTGCGTATTTCGTTACGATACTCTGTCTGCTACCAGTTTGGAGCACGTGTTCTTCCTGTCTTTGTATCTATACAACTTTATGGTAAGTGTACCTTTTCTGTAAGGTAAAAAAATGTACAGCTTAATCCCGCAACGAATTACTTGTCTAGAGGCAATATTAATTAGCGTTTTGTTACTGCCGTTAACATCTTTCTTTGTAATTTCCCAATTAACTGGGATGAATGCAATGAATAGATGTAGTCGATTTTAAAAAGTCATACTCGAATAGTCACTCCTGTGACTATAGAGGGGGCCATATATGGAAGTACGTGGTAGACGCCGATCAAGCGCTACATACCTATCTCCTAATTCACGTTTATATATATATATATATATATATATATATATATAGTCGATTACAAATATTGATAAGTTCTAGTATTTATACTTGTTTCATCTGGAACTTCATTAGCAACTTCGTGAACACATATTCACTGTCATAAATCGTATGTAACTGGACAAAGTGAACATGCTTTCTAAATGTTTCTAGATGCAGGTGTTTCTGTGTGTCGAGACACCTTAAGACCAAATCCGAATTCCTGGCTAGTAATTTCCCCTGGTTCCAATTTCTCTGTTCTAACTCCAGTTACATTTAAAGCTACCTGTAACCCATCATCTAAAATCGCGCAGCAACTTGTTTCGTTGACAGATATTCCTGGGTGAAGTATATTGAATCACAGGCGCACAAGCGTCAAAAGAACTGGGAATATACTTGGAAGACTATAGTTGGTGAAATGTAGGAGTAAGTATGATTATTGTAATGCTTCAGAATATCTTTCACCGCATTTAGGAAACATCCTGCAGTGTGGCGTGTAAGACCTCGTAGCTTATTTATTTTTTCTGTGAACTCACCGTGAAAAATAATGCGATTACTTACAATAGTTCTTACTGCATTACTCCTAGTACTGAAACAACATAGTTTAATATTAGCAGGAAGTCTATCATCTCCAAGTTAACCAAGAAAACGGGACACTTCAGATGCTCCATACAAATGTCTGTTTGTAACTACCTCCCAGAACTTACATTACTGCTTATCAGCCTAGACGTCATTTTCAACTGCTGTTCCAAATTCTACCCCCAGAAGTTCATATCGGTCAATAAAAGTTGGCTGACTAACCGTTATGCATTAGATGTCTCTTGCTACTTATTGTGTGAGACTATGCGGCTACCAAATCACATAAGTTTCACTGTTTTTACTCTTAGATTTTCCTGAATGTTCTTTATTAAGGGATGTAATAATTTACATGTGATTATTTAGGTACCTCTTGAGATGTCATTCGAAAACAATTATCCAGGAGCTGCCAGTCTTATCCAGGATATTGGAAGTTCGTTGTGATTATTGACGGTCCAACGATTTGTTGTAGAAAAAATGGCAGTTACACTTCGTGGAGGTCGTATGTTCATCGGATTTCTTCGAATAATCGATCAGTTCGGTAGGATTTCATATTATCCTTAACAAAATTACAGGTAACGTTGTTCTCCATAACGCTGTGGAACGCATTCATGTTGAAAAAAAGTTCTGCGATATTCCTCAAGGTATACTCCTGATAAGGGGTGAGAACATCATTATTATTGGAGAACTGGTAAGATCCTAGAAAATACTCAAGTGTATTTAAGTGGCAGCTGCTTTTAGTATTCAGTTATTTCAAATAATTATATCAACTGTTGTCTGTTGGTAAAAACTGTTTCAGGAGGACAAAGTCTACGTAACTATTTGACTCAGCAGTCTACGTAAGGCAGTTTATAAATTCACTGAATACAGCTTATGGATAGTGCATCACAAGTGTTCGACTTCCACGATTCTGTTTTTATTCAACCCTCACCACCTTTGTTTCATTTTCATAGGTAACCATCGGACCAATAACAAGTGTGAATGATGAGCAAAGCAATCCATCACATTAGCGGTTAAAATGGAATAAAGTTTTTCTATTGATCTTTTTAGTGACGGTGCTCTATAAATTCTGAAAAAGGGGGTTAGTAATAGCCACCGTGACATAGCTAAATCTAATATTAGGTTTCGCTTATCCCCAAAACCAAACGTCATGGAAATACACCAAGGATTCGTACAGGTATTTCTTTTAGAACAGTTGGTAAAAGGCTCTGAATTAACAATCATGCATTTCCAAAAGAAACAAGACCAAAGTACAACTACTAAATTCCAAACAACCAGTATTTATCAGGAAGCACCTGACAAAAATCTGTCATACGTGTATTCACCATTTATTTCACTGAACAGCTCCTAATCACGACAGAAAAAAACTCAAAAGAGAATTGCAAGAGACGACCACCGTTGTTTGTTAGTATGGAGTACCATAGATACCTTCCTGATTGACTCGCCTTCCCTACTTGAGCGCTAAATGGTTATACTCTGACATTTGGCCTACGTAGTGAAATTGACAGCTTTTAGTATGTATAATCCAACCTTTGTATCAACTGATGGGGAATCGGTGAGAGTGCAAGCGGAGACTACCGATAGGTAAATCCATTCACTTGGACAGCACGCAAACGGCCACGGACGTGTCTTATCAAAAAGTGCGCTCTCTGCTGTGGAACTTAATGCAGTACCACCTACACGAAACAGTCCATATGAGTTAGCCACTTAATCTGCAGACATTGACAATGAGGGCTTTACAGACACCGCATTGGCCTGGTGAGTTCAAGTGAATAACCACACGGGTGCTGTATGCACATCTGAGAAATGCAGCGTAAATGTGTGCCTTGAGATTCTCGCTCGCCCCCATCGTGGAACCTGTGTCCATAATTTAGATGATCGATCACTAATGCTGGTAAGTAACGCTAGAGTCCAAACGTTATTCATTTGAGGCCGGTCACACATCGTCGTTTTGAAGGCGATATCTCAATTTTTGTTTTGAATCGGAGTAGAAAACGCCTACCGCAAGGACGGGGACACCGTAGGACAGGGAGGAGTGTGGTATTCAGTTGGCTGACGTTTCATAATCCCTCCTTCCTATAGGGAAAGAAGTATCAACACGCACTTTGGTCATATGCGAGAAACACCCCACTGCCGTTCAACCAGCATTAGAACTTTGATCTTCTTAACAGTGTGGCCGCGAGATAGTATCAGCAGTCCCAATCCATTGGGTTTGGCTGGTTGTATGCTGCCTGTTTCCTGCGACGAGTAGGACGAAAACATACGAGCGGCCACACTGACAAGCGATCGATGTCTCAGCAGGCTTTCCAGAAAGAGCGGTAACCCTCCAGCGATGAATTATAGTAATACGACCTGTCTGTGTCCATCGTTGGTTGGATGTCAGCAGAAGTCAAGTTGGACAGTATCTATGAAGGTCGATTGCAACCGGAATAGGTCAGTGGTAGCGTCTTTGACTGTAGCACTGATTGACATAGGTAGAGATCTCAGGCGCAGTATGAATTCCATCGAGGTTGCAGATACACGCTACTAACATGTGCTAATAAGCACGAAACCTAGTTCTAGGATTTCCTGTCAACTGTCTCCAACTAATTAAGATCTATCGAAGTGCATCACGATGGTGAGTCTGCTAGTTTACTGACTACCACATAGTGATCGGTTCGCACTAAGGATTAGACACTATGAGATTGGTTACTCTCCAGTGATCAATCAATCCAGAGTGCCTCTGATTATGTTTATAGGCAGCCTTGGCCAGAAGCAAGTGATTGTAGTGCATGACTGGCCACATTTAGGAGTGGTTGATTACATTGTGTTAGCAGTATTTGTAACATAAGAGCGTTTGTAGAATTATACTCGTCAGTTCGCCTTATCGTAGGATATAGAATGATGTAAAATGTACTTTATGTTAGCTTGTTCAAAGGGTTTACACTGCAGTGAAATGGTAGTGCGTTCGTCTTCGTTGTTACTGTTCATCTAAATGTACAGGAATAACTAGAATAGTACGGAAAGGTGTCAAATTGATCATATTGCAGTAGGGTGTTTATTCACAGTTTCTTCGTATGTTGAGATGAAATATGGATTAGAGGCACTCACCACTTACTTGCTTTCAAGTCTCATCATACATTTTAATGTTTTTTTCTAGGATTTGTTCACGAAAATTAAGGCTCTTCAAGTATGATACTGTTTTTAGTATTCCTGAATTGCGACGGAATAGATCTCTTTACGCGGCCTTATGTGTATGGGAACGCAGAGATGTACATAAGTTTCTTTTTGGATAGTTTTTAAATAGCACCATGTGTTACGCAGTTTACTAGATTTCAGATGTTATTGAGTATTCTAATCAATATATGACGGTAGCCCAAGAATGAATACCGATTAACTACCAGCCAGTATACGCAGTACCGATGAACCAGTTGTTATACTTATTTGCCTACTATGTGCTTTTCTATTCTGGATCATTTGTAGAATCCAGATGTGAATATCGATGAGAAGTTGGAAAGGGTTTCAGAAGAAGAAATTTACAAGCTTCAGCAAGAACAAACAGCTGCCCGCAAAGAGCTAGCAAAAAAGCGAGCTGAATTATTCGCTTTACGTGGATTAGGTTTTCCTGACTGCGCAGATATAATGTTTGATGACGCATAGCTGTCACCTATCCCAACATTTTGTTTAAAAAATCCGATGTTATTTATTGCCTGGATATGAATAAGTTACACGCAATGAAACAACATTGAAACTCTGAAAATATTTTTTGTGAACAACTATGCTACTTGCATTTTCGTACTTTACAATATGGCATGAACGAATCAACATCACAGTATCAACCACATTGAGCTTTGTTTTGTTACGCAATGATGTACAATTTTCCAAGAATAACTACAAAAAAATTATTAGATAGCTACATTTCTTTTCGTAATGAAATAATTGAAAAAGCATTATTTGTTTACGCAGGAACAGTTATCTAAGCACCCATGAACCCATTTCATGTCCCTCGGTTGTCGAAATTTAATTTGCGTTGATATATATTATTGGTGCTTGTTGTTTCCCCGCATGGTACCTCATTTGTCTCGAATTAGTCTTTTACACTAAGATGACTTATTATCGATCAACTAACTTAGTGAGCTTCCATGTTGCTCTCAACACAATTATCTGGTGCTACAATAAAGACGCTTGTGATAGGATATGAAACTTCTTTATATGTGGTTACAATTAAGTTTTCAACTTCAGTAATTTTGGCAACAAATATAAAGTCTACAAAAAGCCGTAAAATTACTATACTCGGTTTTAAGTGAAAAAGATGATCTCACGATGTAATAATCTCAAAAAGTGTGCATTTGGAAATTTTGAACGTCTGACAATCATTGAAAAATGTAGTGTCCTGAAATGCGTTAGACAATTTTCTGCAAGGATGAATATCACATCCCAACTCCCGTGAGATTTGCATCCAACTGTTGGAGGTTAGGAAGAGTCAAAAGTATTTTTCGTCGATAACTAGGATCATGCTTTGTGCGATCCGGGTCTAGGAAATAAATTGGATTCCGTTCCATATACAGTGTTCGCAGTTTTTCAAAACACATAGTTTTTCTATTTGTTTCCAGTCAGATATTTTGTTATCATTGAACCAGAATTCTTCCAGATTTTCTAAATGTGATATGTTCTTTATCTGTGATATAAGATTGTAAGCTAAGTCCAGAACTTGTAATTTCGTCAAAGCTTCCAAACCTTCAATTTCTGTTATTCCATTTTCACTAAGGTACAGTTGCTCCAGATTTACAAGTTTTTCAAGCCCACATATTTTAGTGAGTCTGTTACCCTAAAGTAGATAATAAAAGGTTATAGCAAAAAAAACGATCTTTAAAACGTAATCCCGAGATAGAATACAAAAAAAGTAACAAAGAAATACCAGCAGTCGTTACAGAATGTGATACTTTCATGTGTATTTCATGTGATAATGTTTAGAACATATTCTTTTCTTTAAACAAATATTGGACCATATTTTAATCTAAAGAAGACAAACTGTTGTTATTTCACGGATATATACGACTATGCATTACTGCGTAACGATACAAGTTGCCACACCTCATTTCTGCATATCAAGCGAGAATGTACCAAGAGGAAAGATACAGAAATAAGAAAGTAAGCAGTTAACGGTAGAAATTCGTGAAAAGAGAGCAAGGTGAGATGAGAGAATACTGAAATTCAGTAGGATAATTAAGATGAACATAGTGTGTGAATACACCAGCGCCACTGACATCGATTATGAGTTGTATGACTTAGTCTTCAACCACTGGTTTTTGTTTTTACGCTGACTACAAACGGGAAGTTTACATTCCACTACACGGTTCAGACCAACAGTAAGAAAATTCATGAACTAATGCCATGTTTAAGTCCGGTCACCTCTGATCTTCTCCTAGCCTAAACCTATTTCAGCAAACATTGTGCCGCGAAGCAAATGATGTCTAGGCTTGCGTAACACATGTCTCAGTCGCCTAAGTCAAGGAAAGTTCACAACCTCATCGACTGGCTTTCTTCTTCTCCCTAAAACTCCGCCTGACTTCCACTTTACTAGCATGGTGAAACAACGATAGACACATGCTACTAAGGTACCATGTTTCACAGTTATTTTGTATCCCAAAAGAAAACTGCAGCACAGTACACGGCTTATCAGGCAGAAATTCACGGCGATACCACACAAACGGTGTAATTTCTTGGAAGTCAAGCGAGCTTTTTGTATCTGTGGAGAGATTTCGTCGGTCAGTGACTTAACCAAGGTGGTCTGGCTTTTCAGGTAGGTAAAGTTGTCAACGCATCTAACCATTTCACTCCCTGCTGTAGAAAATGACATCTTCGAAGACCATTCCCGGGGCAACAAGCCGCATTTAGGTGAGGAGAAATCATTTAAAACATTTAAATTGTCACTCAATGTGTCCAGAAGACTGGATTTTTCAGCGTCTTCGCCCAACAGGATTATGTCACCTGCGAACTCTACACCTATCAAGGAGTCTTTTGTGACAGGATCAATTCCTGTAAAGTCAGACACCAAAAAGGGGATCTCTGCATGTCTATGATAAAGTTGAATAATAATAGAGATAGTGGACATCTATAACAGATATCATTCGACATACACAACTCTTCTGATAATTCACCATAGGTTCCGATATGCCTACAGTTGTTCGAGTACAGAAGCCTTCAAAAGAGTGACATAGTTACTCGATACCCCTTTCAATGAGAAACACTGTCGTAAGACCTCTCGGTCGATGGAGTCGAATGCCGCCTTTAGGTCAAGAAATTTTCGAGTGTCAGTAAGTGTGACTGCACTCCAGAACATGGCGGAGTGTGAATATCTGGCCAATAAATTTACAACCAGGTCTGAAACCTGGCTGGCTTTTTTCAGTCCGCTGTTTCCAAGACACTCAGGCATCTGATAATCATAGAACCTAGAATCACAGATACTTTGTTCGTCGGGCTGATTACTCTGCAGCTATCATGAGAGGATTTCTCACTTTTCTTGAAGACTGGGACAATAAGTGATTGAGACCATTCAGAGGGGATCACATCTGACTCCCACACACTAGCTAACACTTCAGTTAATTTGATTAAAAAGCCCCTACTATGGTCCTTAAATACCTCCGTTACTAATATGTCAGGAACCGTTTCCCTTTCTCAATTCAGACCACTTACAGCTTTCTAGACTTCTGCAAGAGTTGAACATCCTGTTTTAATGCTCCATTCAGGATCCGACTGAATAGTGGGCAACGGAATGGTAGCTGGAGGTCAATTGGACTGTTCCTCGAAGTGTTCCGTACATCGCCCTAACTGCCTCTCCTGCGATTAAATCGCAAACCCATTCTCTGGTGTAGTCTCGCTAACCAGTGACTCTTTTGCCTCAGTTTCCTTGATAAGCTTAAGTGACCGTCTACTGTTACCTAACAACATAGCCTTTTCTATCTCCTCAGTATTCGCTACCCACTACTGATAGCGGTCATTGCATTTACTTAATATACGCCTACATTTGAACTACTTCTACTTCTCATTCTGCTCCAAGCTCACAAGAATGCGTTCGCGCGCATCTATTAATCCATAACGAGCTTCTGAGATTCGCTGACTCTGTCTAACTACTTCCTGAAAGGTGGCTACGGCTTTCAACGCTGTTTTTACAGCAGAGTGGAGAAGCCACCAGACTTCTTCCAGATGAGTGGTATTCTGTTCCGAAAACTGTCTAGGCAGTTCCTTGCAAAAAGCAGCCTTAGTATTCTTATCATTGAATGGCATTCATAGTGACCTTGGTGTTATAGTTATCTTACGAACATTGAGTGCAAACATACGCATAGTCGCTGTCGAAACATGTGTTACGTAAGGGAATGCAATCTTCCGCTGACCCTCTCTAGCGATAGCTGATAATAATGTAGTTTGTGTCCACTGCTGAGTCGAAGTCAGGGGAATTTCTACTGTTAGCTTGGTATTGATCAGCAATGGAATCCAGGTTGCGCTTTTCGTTCTGCTCAAGACTCGCCAGATGGATGTATGGGCATCACTGTTGGAAATTGTGTTCCCACCGAGACTGAAAACCAGCACTCACCACTTCAAACGTTATCTACTAAACTACTGAGCCACGAAAGTCAGCTAATGTGCAGTTTTCATTTATAATTACTCATGATATCTTTTAGTTATACTGGATCGAATTCTTGTCTAAGTCACGTAAATCTCTTCAGGCATCTGTGAAGATGTTTCATGCACCAAAATAGAATCTCTGATGACAGAGATTTTGCTTGTCTGAACTATATGGTGACTAAAATAGCTAATAACTTTTCAACACGAATTGCCAAGTGACGTTCCGTTATCTACACTCTAGTTGTTTGAGAAAAGAGACGACTTTTAGAAACCGTTGCGAGTGGTTCCAAGCAGATTTTATCTCTAATGCAATTTCCGTCATGGATAATTCTAAGTACAACTTGCAAAAAGTCAACCGCCTATATATCATTAATATGACGATCCTTAATTACCGCTGATAACGCTCACAAGAAGAGATACTCACATGATCCATTAGCGCGAAAAATGACTAATACGAACACAAGATCACTCTGGAAACGAAAAATATCTCGGTATTCAAATCTATAGTTCTCCAATGTATTTGTCGCTTAAACATGCGGAAGCATGTGTAAAGTAGTTAGAGAAGAGTAAAATCACTACTCAAGTACTACATTAGTAAAAACCGAAGGCTGAAACATGGACATGGTGTTTAGGCTTGCATATCACAGTGACTCATGGAGATACACTGGCTGTAACACATGTTACTTGTTGTGCCATGTCAGAAAGATCTGGTGAGTATTTGTAACAGGGATAATTACTACACCTTGATGGGTAACTGACGGCAAAACCAAACTGTTGGTAGGATGAGGGTGTAACGGTGTTTCCCATGCGTTACCAGTAGTGCCATAATGATACCACCTTGCCAATGAGGAAGGAGTGTTATCACGTGTTGGCTCAAAATATAGCACGTTCCACGGTGCATTGTAATATTCCGATGCCGGTAATGTGTTTTTCCTTTAAGGAGATGACACAATCAAATTTCAATTCAACAATCTTACAAAGGTTGTGAGACAAGCTTCAAGCTGATGTCGGTGTCACCTCGCACACCTAATACTAACCAATTTTGTCTGGCAAAAGCGACTTCTAGAGTGCGAGCAGAAAACCATTAGGCTCATGTTGTAGGATTTATTATCACATTTCACCTATAAGACAGTTAGCATCTGTTTACAAATAACTAGATATCCCAAAGATGATCTGTACAAAGTCAATATATTGGCTAAAAAAATTTTTTAACAGCTGAGATGGCTTTGCATAAGGGTCTCAAAATCACAGCAAAAATACATGTTCTACAAATTAAGCCATGATGACAGTTATTACCTTAACATGGGCGTCAAATTTCTACATTGTAATGACCCAAGGAGCTAGCTACAACGATTCAGTCACGCGTTTAAACCACGTTAGAAAGGTTTGATGGATCAGTAGGAGTAAACGCAACAGTAAACAGCTTACACTGTGGCAGGTTTCCGAAAACAAAGTAGTTAGTACTACTGGGTTTAAAGGGGTGCAACAGAAATGAAACGTTTCTAACAAATAACCAGAAATCTGTGCTGGTGCTTTTCCCTTACCGGAAGGAAGGGTTAGAAACGGTCAGCTCCAAAACCAGCACGGCACCCTCGTGGTATTCAAGTATTGGTAATATGAGTTTAGCGGTCAGATTTAAAACAAATGATCTCAAATTTCACTTCTGAAAAAGCCACGTATAATCTACGCAAAGTTGATAACCAATGGGCTTTGCTGTCACACTATTACTACTAATTTATTCGGTTCCCTATGCCTATTCGGAATCTCCGCCTACTACCCCAAAGATTACAGTTCACATGATACAATCCGACAGGTTTCAGAACACAGAATAACTTACTCATGACTGACACTCACCATATTTCTCGACCTAAAGGTGGGATTCGACTCTCAACAGAGGTGTCGTCGCAGTATCTGATTGTGAAGTCAGTACCGAGCAGGTATGTAATTCTAGTCAAAACACTCCACTTGAACACACGCAGCTGCGTAAGGGCTTAAGCTGAGTAATCGTTTAGAGTGATGACAACCGGTGTTGGCTTCTAGGGATGTTCAATGTCACCATTTCTGCTAACCTTAGCTACAGATGTGGTAGTGGATATAACCTTAGATACCTTTGTATCCACAGGGGTGGGATCACTGTCATGAGACCATCTCGTTGACTTGGAGTAAGCAGACGGTATTATCCTGGCAGTTGAAGACGCTGAC